TCAAGAACATCAGACATTCAAATCTAAGACCAGTTGGTCCTTGCCCTCCAAGCAATTTTGCACAGTGGGTTGAAGGTCATCATTGGGGGAAATCTTGCAGATCCTGACATGGCAAAGGGATGGAACTCTGCAAAGGCGAGTTGTTGCAACTTAAAGCCATAGGGTCAGACAGGGGTCAGACATAGGGTCAGACATGCATGATTCTACAACAATCAGTTCCTCAATGCTGTATCTTACCTAGTTCTGATACCATAACATGATTATACAACAGAGTCCATGTTCTACAACAATCAGTTCCTCAATGCCATATCTTCACCTTGTTCTGATAAAAAGTTCCACAACATCAATGTTCTACAACATTCTACAACATTCTACAACAACCAGTGCCTGTGTTCTACAACAATCAGCATCAATGTTCTACAACAATCGGCATCATGTTCTACATTAATCGGCATCATGTTCTACAACAATCAGTTCCCTAATGTTCTACAACAATCGGCATCAATGTTCTACAACGTTCTACAACAACCAGCACCTGTGTTCTACAACAATCGGCATCAATGTTCCAAAACGATCAGTGCCGGTGTTTTACAACAATCAGCATCAATGTTCTACAATGTTCTACAACAATCGGCATCATGTTCTACAACAATCAGTTCCTTTGTTCGACAACAATCAGTATTCATGTTCCACAACAATCTGCGTCCATCTCCTAATCAGTGTCTATTTTTAATCCATTGATATCAAGCACAAACCGGAAAATGACTATTGATCACATTTTAAATATCTGCCAAGTAAGAACACGAAGTTAATCGAGAAGTTCTCTTGCTCATAACTCAGAACAATTAATGATTCCATTAGTCACCAGCAGATTGCTTGAACTTCCTGCACAATTAAACTATAATATTGATCATCATGCAACTATTTCAGCCCATTTTCTCAAGAGAGACCATCACCCCTGTCTTCTAACATCTGTTTTTCATTCTGCCACATCTCACAATAGTTCTGTGAATTCTGAATTCAATTGCTTAAAGTCTAAAGATGAATAAAGTCTTTGAAAGGCATTTAGAAGTGATACACATAAGGACGATAATCTATGGATGTCAAGTTGACATCCATAAATTCTCTTCCTTAAAGCTCGCTGACTTGGTTGATACAAGTCATCGTATCCCAATTGCCTAGATTAATGCTCATGATATTAATCACTGGATTGTCTGGTCCAGACTCGATTATTTACAAACCGCCATCATATTGCTAGAATATTGCTGAGTGCAGCGTTAAACAACAAATAAACAAACAAACTTTTCCTTAAAGATAAATCAATAAAATTATTTTTTTAGATTTCTTAATTGTATCTAATTGATGGAAATTCTATATTATTTTTTATTAACCTCTGCACACAAATGAGCGAGTATTTCAGCAATATTCTAGCAATATCACGTCGGGTAACACCTGATAGGGGCTTCACCCATTGTGCCCATGTGGTTCTGACATTACCCAAATGATTGAGTGAGCATTGTAAGTAAGGCTTAAAGCTATTTCGGACAGTATTTAAGTTAGATCACAGTGTGTCAGCATAATGTCGGCGATAAATCTGAAATCATATACATTTAAGGGTAGCCGATTGGTTGAAACGTTCACTCAACTTGAAGAAAGTCTGGGTTTGATTCCCAAGATGGGTACAATGTGTGAATCCAATTTCAAATTTCCCTAGCTATGACACAATGGGTAGTGCTGAAAGTGTTTCATAACTCAACTCACAAACCACTCTCTGTATCATACATAGTTCGAAAGACTGTTCAAAATGGGGCGGTTTGGTAGCCTAGTGGTTAAAGCATTCGCTCATCACGCCGAAGACCCGGGTTCGATTCCCGACATGGGTACAATGTGTGAAGCCCATTTCTGGTGTCCCCCGCCATGATATTGCTGGAATATTGCTAAAAGCGGCGTCAAACCATACTCACTCACTCACTCACTATTCAAAATGTCTTCAAAGCATCAGTACCAGAGTCTTGCACTGGGTACGGAAACCCTTATTCTCTAGAATCTCCTTTGTTCTACCTAACATGACAAGCGTGGCAGGCCACAATCAGACAAATTATTATTTACTGACTGTCCACAGCGTACAGTGACAGGATTGAAATCAATGGCATCTAGAATATCAATTACCATATGCCATGGTTCCTCAGACAATCTCGCTAAGGGCACTTGCCAAAACCAGAAACCACCTGAGGCTCCATTGTTCTCACATAGGAGTCTATTCCATTTCCAGCAGTATCAGCAAGTTACAAATGAATTTACTGGATTGTATTCACTCTGCGCCTTCTTGATGTCAAGAAAATCCAAAATATACAGTTGCCATTACAAATGAATATACTGGATTGTATTCACTCCATGCCTTCTCGATGTCAAGAAAATTCTAAATAAACAGTTGCCATTCACAAAAGAATTCTCACCAGAATTCCCACCTCAATATTCTAATATTTTAAAATAGTAATTAAATGTTGCATGGGGAATAGTATAATGAGAAACATCCATTATGACATTGTAGTATGATGTATACACGTGTTATAGCCTTGGATACACAATATGGGAACGTGAGATATTGTGGGATTTTAATGAGAAACATGTATTTTTAGAAATTTGATATTTTTGGGGAGGGTGAACATAAAATGAACATGGGGAATACGCTCATGGATGAAAGCAAGATGGGGATTGTGTGGTCTGGCTGGGACTGCGTTGATTACGTGTCACCTTACAAGGATTTATCTCGGAATCAAAACTAAGTGCCCTATGCAGGCAAATTGGGAAAATTTGTTATTTTGTTCAAAATTGGGATTTTTTAAAAGTTCATATTTCCCAAAATTCAGAGATATTTTAACTTTGAATTTTCACAATTCATTCAATGCAATAACGTATTACTAAGCATTAACACCTCTTTCTGTATATTGGTCCTGTTATCAGTGAAATATAGGTCCCTTCTACAAAGCCATAACATTAGTGTTAACTATAACAGTATCATCTGGCAAATATTTAAAAAATTAATTCCAATTTAGGAATTTTTACTACCATTTTTTACAGACTTGGGGCTGAATATGATCTCTGAGCAGGTGAAGATAAATCCTTGTCGGAACTCCAAAATGTGGGATGTCAGTCGTGCTATAACCCACTGGTATTCCTGGCCAAAACTCGAATATATACAGGCTATAAAACAGCTTGAATTGTTTGTTTTGTAATGGCACACTCAACTATATGACTTGAAGCCTGTAAATATTGGAGTCTAGGCCAGACAATCAGATAACAACAATCCAGGCCATTAGGGTATGAAGGCACCCAATCATGTATTGTTTATTTGTTTGTTTGTTGTTTTACGTCACACTCAGCAATTTTCCAGCTATATGACAGCGGTCTGTAAATAATCGAGTCTGGACCAGACAATCCAGTGAATGACAACATGAGCATTGATCCACGCAACTGGGACACGATGACATGCATCAACCAAATCAGGAGCCTGACCACCCGATCCCGTCAGTCGTCTCTTATGACTAGCATGGGTTGCTGAAGACCTATTCTACCCCGGATCTTCACGGGCCCACAATCATGTAGAGGTTGGAATATATACTATAAACAACAAACAAACACAACAAACATCACATCAACCCAGACCCACCCCCACCCCCTATTATGAATGGCCAGTCTCTCATCAGATCAGCCTCATTTTTTCAAACATCACCCTACGTAACCATACAGATCTTAAGATAATTCCTTATTTTAAATGCTCGTCATTTCCTCTGCATGTGTCAGAGATGTACAACTGATGGGTAGAGGAGCGGAGAGGACTCTCAAGTGAGTGAGTGAGTGAGTTTGATTTTGCGCTGCTTTTAGCAATATTCCAGCAATATCACGGAGGGGGACACCAGAAATGGGCTTCACACATTGTACCCATGTCGGGAATCGAACCCGGGTCTTCTGGGTATAATGAAATAAAGGACAAAGCAAATTAGTTGATTACACAACATCTTAGGCGTGACGAGCGAACGCTTTAACCACCAGGCTACCCGACCGCCCCAGAGGACTCTCAAAGCACCGATACAAAGCTTCAACACAACGTACCCCTATGAACATTCACAAAAGCCATTCATTGTCTGTTCCAATAAGATAAGTCACATCCCATTCTGTTAAACTACACAATCTCTTAATGACATCACTGTGATCTCCAAGCCATGACGATCAATAAAGAGTATTAATAATTCATAATTTTAGATTCTTGTCATATTCAAACAGGAAGCCACTTTAACCTGCTGAATATATCACTGCAAAACTACCCATTTTACACAGCCTCCATGCCCCTAAACTCACACAGACCTAACGGGGTATAATGAAATAAAAGACAAAGCAAATTAGTTGATTACACAACATCAACATCATCAACAACAACATCAACAGCATCAACATGAACAGCATCAACATCAACACAGTTGCCAAACCCAAAACTCACACAGACCTAACTGGGTACAATCAAAATAAAGGACAAAGCAAATTAGTTGATTACACAACATCAGCATCAACAACAACAGCATCAACAACAGCATCGACATCAACATAAACAGCATCAACAACATCAGCATCAACATCAACAGCATCAACAACAACAGCATCAACAACAGCATCAACATCAACACTGTTGCCAAACCCAAAACTCACACAGACCTAACAGGGTACAATTAAAATAAAGGACAAAGCAAATTAGTTGATTACACAACATCAGCATCAACAGCATCAACAACAACAGCATCAACAAATAACACTGTTGCACGTGTCTGCCAAGGAATGCATCCCCGCCACAACAACCAACTGAAAGAGTCCCCACCACAACAACACCGTCCCCACAACCTCTTTGTTTACCACAAATGGACTCGAAAAAAACCAGCAAGGAGATCCATAACTACACAACAGGCAGGACATTACTATGTCATATCGCCACGACAACAAAGCATTACCGGAATATCCATGCTGGAAGTGATCTCCAAGTCCAGGACACGTTAAACTAGTCGTCTGGTGACCGTGACTTCCCAGATGTCTGTGTCCAATGCTCGGCAAAACACTCGAGCTCCCTGGATGAGGAATGTGGAACTGACTTGATATTTCCAAGCTCAAAAGAAGGCCACAATGAAGTCAGTCAGCAAGACGATCCCTCCTGAATATAGGGTACATGAATTTGAATGCACCGTGCCAAATTGCAGAGCATGCCCTGATGCCCTGTCTAAGCATGTGATATCCAAACATACAATGAATGGCGGCGTTGATATTTACGATACTGCCATACCATCAGTTTCTTCAATTATGCAAAAATCAATAACTAGGCAACAGAATTTCCAATCTCTAGGACAGCACCACACAAATGGACAACAGCCTGCACATGCTACTTCAAATCATAACTGTGTTCCCAATACCAGGGCAAAATACTGGACGTAGAGTGCATTTATTATTTTGCATAATGTCAATAAGGGCTGTGTTGTTATTTGCATAATTAGTCTGCCTGTGGTTGAGTCCGAGACCTGGTCTTACAGACGCATACAGTTCTAACAATGGGGACTGATTTGGGCGTTGACACATGCAGTGTTAGATAACTATCACATTGACATACAGAGTCTGGAGGAAGTAGTAATGCATTAACTGTCAAATGGGACAATGACCCATTCCACGCTCATGCTTTCTATCAATGTAGCATTATTGATATTATGTTATTAGGAAAATAGTATTGAACAGTTTGCTGTACGACAAATATAGTTGTTATGAAAGCAGTTCCAGGCCTTTGTATGAAGACGATGTATAAGTGATTGATTACTCTTCATCAGGTCTTTCTTAAGCTCTGTATTATATTCCCCCCCTCCTCCAACAAAAAAAAACAAACAAAAAACAACAACCAAAAACCCAAAAGAACATATATTTTAAATTGCACTCCAAAAAGGAATAATCATAATAGAGAAATATTGCTTTTGCCTTCCTTGTAATTGAATTGATACTACTGTGTTTCAAAATGACCAAAGCGGAAAGTTAATTATGTTTTTCTTTAAATATTAATAAGAATGATGACTTCCTGTCTATGACTTAGCCCTTAATATCATGGGGTTTTGCTAATGATTGTCGTTTACGTAAACTTGGTATATCTGTAACACATTTCTTCTGCGTTAATATCCTCATTGATGGCTACAAAGCATCGATGCCTGGAGCAATACTTGTGCCAATGATAACACATATTTCCATCTCAATAAACAAAAAACGTGTAAATCCTAAAAAAATGGAAAGATGGAGGTTATTGGATGGGTGGGGTGAGTGGGTGGATGGGGTGATTGGATGGGTGGGGTGAGTGGGTGGATGGGGTTATTGGATGGGTGGGGTGAGTGGGTGGATGGGGTTATTGGATGGGTGGGGTGAGTGGGTGGATGAGGTTATTGGATGGGTGGGATGAGTGGGTGGATGGGGTTATTGGATGGGTGGGGTGCTGGGGTGGATGGGGTTATTGGATAGTGGGGTGAGTGGGTGGATGGGGTTATTGGATGGGTGGGGTGCTGGGGTGGATGGGGTTATTGGATAGTGGGGTGAGTGGGTGGATGGGGTCATTGGATGGGTGGGATGAGTGGGTGGGGTGAGTGGGTGGATGGGGTTATTGGTTGGGTGGTGGTTGGTGGTGCGTGAGTGGGGTTGTGTGTTGATTGGAGTTGACGCATGGTTTGAGAGCACATCAGCCAAGTAGCACAGGCAGGGATCTCTTTAGAAGTTCAGAAGCCAAAGCAGATGTCAGTTAACATTCCCAAATGGGAACCCCATTGATGTCAATATAGTTATAACTAATGCAGTGGTTTAGTCGGAGTGATGTGTATTTCACTGACAGCGGGGTTATTAACACTTAACACCTAATTTTACACTGCACAGAATGCAGTCAATATACACTGATAAATTACGCTGAAATTATTAGAATTACAACTCTCAAATGACCAGCAAATTAAATCTTTTTCCAAACTGCCCGCCAATAACCAATAACAGGACAATTTGTTGGCACTGTTCACCACAATCAAGCATCTCTAATCATACTGAGCAGACACTGCACAGCCTGGGGCTCAAGGCATCCGTCCAATGCTAAACACAGGCAACATGAGAGCACAGACACTGCGCCCAGATATTCCAGGTGGGATAGACACTGCGCCCTGATATCCCAGCTGGGATGGACACTGCGCCCTGATATCTCAGCTGGGACGAACACTGCGCCCTGATATCCCAGCTGGGACGGACACTGCGCCCTGATATCCCAGCTGGGACGGACACTGCGCCCTGATATCCCAGCTGGGACGGACACTGCGCTCTGATATCCCAGCTGGGACGGACACTGCGCCCTGATATCCCAGCTGAGACGGACACTGCGCCCTGATATCCCAGCTGGGACGGACACTGCGCCCTGATATCCCAGCTGAGACGGACACTGCGCCCTGATATCTCAGCTGGGACGGACACTGCGCCCTGATATCCCAGCTGGGACGGACACTGCGCCCTGATATCCCAGCTGGGACGGACACTGCGCCCTGATATCCCAGCTGGGACGGACACTGCGCCCTGATATCCCAGCTGGGACAGACACTGCGCCCTGATATCCCAGCTGGGACGGACACTGCGCCCTGATATCCCAGCTGAGACGGACACTGCGCCCTGATATCTCAGCTGGGACGGACACTGCGCCCTGATATCCCAGCTGGGACGGACACTGCGCCCTGATATCCCAGCTGGGACGAACACTGCGCCCTGATATCCCAGCTGGGACGGACACTGCGCCCTGATATCCCAGCTGGGACGGACACTGCGCCCTGATATCCCAGCTGGGACGGACACTGCGCCCTGATATCCCAGCTGGGACGGATACTGCGCCCTGATACCCCAGGTGGGACAGACACTGTGCCCTTATATCCCAGCTTGGACAGACGCTGCGCCCTGTCTTCCCAGCTGGGACGGACACTGCGCCCAGATATCCCAGCTGGGACGGACACTGCGTCCTGATATCTCAGCTGGGAGGGAAATTGCGCCCTGATATCCCAGCTGGGACGGACACTGCGCCCTGTTATCCCAGCTGGGACGGACACTGCGCCCAGATATCCCAGCTGGGACGGCACTGCGCCCTGATATCTCAGCTGGGACGGACACTGTGCCCTGATATCCCAGCTGAGACGGACACTGCGCCCTGATATCCCAGCTGAGACGGACACTGCGCCCTGATATCCCAGCTGGGATGGACACTGCACCCTGATATCCAAGCTGGGACGGACAGTGCTGCACCACACTAGTTGAGGCCTTTTGAAGATGCTCTCGAGGCAATGATCAAACTTTTTTAATAAATCAGGTATGAACCAATGTTTTACACAATAATTCCTGATAGAAAAATGCACATTATTATAAAAATAAAACAGATCTCATGGAAGCGTTCTCTTTATTTCATTCACAGATTCAAACTCAAGGCCTCTCTGGGCAGATTCCACCCAAGGCCTCTCTGGGCTGATTCACACCCAAGGCCTCTCTGGCCAGATTCAAACTCATGGCCTTTTTGTGGGCTGATTCATACTCAAATCCTTTCTGGGCAGATTCAAACTCATGGCCTTTCTGGGCAGATTCAAACTCAAGGCCTTTCTGGGCAGATTCAAACTCAAGGCCTTTCTGGGCAGATTCAAACTCATGGCCTTTCTGGGCAGATTCAAACTCAAGGCCTTTCTGGGCAGATTCAAACTCAAGGCCTTTCTGGGCAGATTCAAACTCATGGCCTTTCTGGGCAGATTCAAACTCAAGGCCTTTCTGGGCAGATTCAAACTCAAGGCCTTTTGGTGCAGATTCAAACTCAAGGCCTTTCTGGGCAGATTCAAACTCAAGGCCTTGCATGGCAGACTTGGTTTAGTAAAGTATTAGATAATATCCCAATAGTACAGAGGGAAGCCCTTAGATTCCACTTGATGATTCTTGGTTTGTCAACACGTTATCACTGCTTTGGGGTTTCAACAAAGGGGAAAACGTCTCACACGTGTTGGGGGCTTCATTGTTTCCTGCAGTTTTTATAACATGACATATTAGAATAAACCTTATATCCTCATTTCAGCAACTGCCTCCAAAAAATACAAATGTAAACTCATAAATTTCAGATATTGTGATGTGATTATTGTAATCAGTAAGCACAAATTTAACAATTGTAATAGGTTACTAACATAAAACACATTAAACTTTCAATCTGATAATTCAGTAAGTCCAAGAAAATGTTCAAATTTTACTGGTTTGTCGCAGGATATTTTTTTGATAATGTGCATTTTTCTATCAGGAATAATTGTGTAAGATATTGGTTCATTTGTCCTTTGTTTAATGAAGCTTTGAATGTTTGAAATCATCCATCCCATTTACAGTGCCTTATGCTGAAACTATCCATCAGGCACTGTGCAGAAGTGTGCTGGATATTCAGCAGGTCAATGGTTAAGCTGGTGCCCTGTGATAACAATACTGTTCAAACAGGAATAGGGGCAGTCGGTAGCCTAGTGGTTAAAGCGTTCGCTCATCACGCCAAAGACCCGGGGTTCGATTCCCGACATGGGTACAATGTGTGAAGCCCATTTCTGGTGTCCCCCGCTGTGATATTGCTGGAATATTGCTAAAAGCGGCATTAAACCATACTCACTCACTCACTCAAAAAGGAATAAACCCAACTCTCCCCTCACTCACTCCGACTCCTGATCTGTGACTGAGTCAGGTTTAACAATGCTTTGAGCAGTATTATCCCTTATATCATGGTGTGTCTGGTTAATATGGGAGAAAAGCCTGAAGTGATGCAGCTCTTAGATGTTTACCACTTCGGAGAAACCTACGAGCACAGGTATGGTGCTGACAACCTAGAAACATCAATTTAAGACCTCATCACTGAGGGTTTGCAATAAGTTGGCACGCCATGACACAAATACTGTTCAAAGCAGCATTAACCCCAAATCACTCTTCACCCACTCCAACCCATAATCAGAGGATCCTGGCATGACAAAGGGACATAAATCTGCATAGCATCTTTGCAGCACCTTGGAGTGCAAAGCTGTTAGTCCCTCAGCTAACCCTGAATTTTCGTCCTGTAATGAGTTGGTAACTGGATTAGATTGTCAACTCTCTGTTACACAAATCAATACAATTCCCATGTAGACACAGATGGGATGTCACCTTCTGGTCACATGACATCAGAATGAGCTCTAATTGGTCAATTAATAAATCTAGTTTAACAATCAGAAAGTCAATGAAAGGTTTTGATTTACTGTCAATTTTAGGGACTTTACTATTGTCAGTATGTTAAGTTCAATAAAACATTAAAGTGTCACGCATTTCCTGTACTGAGAGCCTTGCCTTGAGGCTACTTTTGATTGATTTTTTTTACTTTGGTCGCATTTGTTCTGCAGGGCTCCATATACATCTATTAGCCATTGAGTATTAACTCACACGGTGTCAGTTACACAAAAAGACGTTAAAAGATTGTACTTGTTGTTACCCTGTCTGGCGCTTGGCATTAAGGGG